TAAGCTCCTGGGTTGTAAATCCTGTAGACTGAGAAGAACTTTAGGTGGCATCTGCATAGTCTACAGTCTGAAATATATTTATAGTCAAGCTAAAATAGTGTGATTTTTATTTTTATTTTTATTGTGTATTAAAGAGACACACACACACACACACACACAAAAAGAGAATTCTGTTTCATTTGTTCACCCTTGATCAAAACCTATTTGAGTTTATTTTGTAATTTATAAAAAAATTTTTGGTTGTTTGATAAACAGTTGGTACTAAAAGTATTCAGACCCGCTTACATTTTTCACTCTGTTATATTACAGCCATTTGCTAAAATCATTTATGTTCATTTTTTCCTCATTAATGTACACACATCACTCCATATTGACAGAAACACATAGACTTGTTGACATTTTTGAAGATTTATAAAAAAAAAAGCTGAAATATCATAGGTTCTAAGTATTTAGACCCTTAAAGCCATGGTCACACTGCTCTTTTCTCCCCATAGACTTCCATTCATATACTGAATGCGGCAGACGGAAATGCAAGCTCATGAAACAACTTTCGCAGTTTGCTGCATTGCAAACACAAGCTTGTGTGTCAAGTTTCGTAGGTCGCTGCGTGGAAAAGTTCTAGCTTGGTGAACTCTGACCTGTGAAATTGCATCGCTTGACTGCGTGAGACCAATCGAGGATCAAAACATGGCCTCTCTGTACAGAAATTTAAAACATGGACCAATCGCTCGCTTTTGTCTAATTATCAAGTTTAATCCCACCCTTTTTTGCAGCGCTGTTCAACAGAATTTTGCATGCTCAAAATTGAGTGTGCCCGTGGCATAAAGCTGCATTCTTGCTGAATAAGCGCCATAAAGCTGCATTCTTGAGGCATGAGCTTGCGTTTCTGCTCTGACGCATTTGCGTGTGCTTGAATAGAAGTCCATGGCGAGAAAAGTCCAGTGTGACCGCAGCTTTACTGTGACACCCACATATTGAACTGATCAACAGGTTCTATATATACAGTTGAAGTCAGAATTATTAGCTCCCTTCAGATTTTTTTCTTCTTTTTTAAAATATTTTCCAAATGATGTTTAACAGAGCAAGGAAATTTTCACAGTATGTCTGATCATATTTTTTTCCTCTAGAAAAAGTCTTATTTGTTTTGTTTCGGCTAGAATAAAAGCAGTTTTTAATTTTTTGAAAGCCATTTTAGGGACAAAATTATTAGCCCCTTTACAGTGACGAAGGCAATGACACAAAAGCTCCAATCAGGTAGCGAATCTCAGCAGTCCCGCCTCCATTTTCAGATGTCTCCGTTTTGCCTTATCCACACTGAGATGGAGCAGCAGCTTTTCAGAATGAAAACGGTCTCTCCAGCATTTTCAAAACGCTCCATTTTCGACGCTCGAGAACTCCGGCGTAGTGTGGACGGATGGCGTAACCGTAGCCAAACTTATTCATTTTGAAACGAAAACGCATTAGTGTAAATGGAGCCCTAATCGGTAGAGGAAATTTTGGGTTTTAAGAAAATGTTAAATGTAATAGAGCCCCGTTACATTATTCCTTCATAAGCCCATTTCAGTCAGATAATTCCTGCTTTCAGGTCCACTGAAATGGCAGGTGACAGTCAAATCAAGCAGATCTGTGCTGTCTAAGGAAAAGGTGGACACTCATCTTTCTGAAAAAAAAAAAAAAAGATTGAAACTGAGTTCCATATAAAAACTACATTTTTCTTTTATTTTTATTTGTTTAACTACTACAATATTATATTTATGTTTTTATAAGCAGTTTTTTGGTTTTGCATATATAAAAGGATTTGTTTATTTGATGCTAAGCAGAAACCCCAAAAGTATAGCTCTATCTATCGCTGTTTAAAGTAAAAGAAAAAAAAAACAAGATCATTTTTTTATGTTAGTTTTAATACATAAAAAATTAAATCAGAGAAATCCTCTGTCTTTTTTGCTGAAAACATAGCGACCCATGACACTGTGTCGTATCGAACCAAACCGTGATTTTTGTGAACTGTTACACCCCATTTATATATATATACACACACACACACACACACACACACAGTTGAAGTCAGAATTATTTGCCCCCCCTGAATTACTAACATCCATGTGTATTTTTTCCCAATTTCTGTTTAACAGAGGGAAGATTGTTTCAGCACATTTCTAAACATAATAGTTTTAAAAACTTATTTCTGCTAACTGATTTATTTTATCTTTGCCATGAGGACAGTAAATAATATTTTACTAGTTATTTTCCGAGACATTTCTATTTATCGTTATCAAATAACGGTAGTTCAAATGATATTCCAGATTTGGAGAGCATTACAGTAGATAAATGTGTATATTCTTACTTTAGCCTGAAACCACACATTAGAAATCCCCAAATCCTCTGAAATCTAAGCTGCGCATAAAAAGCATCTTGCCTTCAAAGTAATGCGAGTATAAAAGTTAGTTTGAATGACTCCCCCTCCCAAATAGGCTTTGTGCATTAGCGTCATCTCCAAACTTTTCTAAAGCATTAAACAGAAAATTAGAATAAAGCTCTTGTAATAATGACATCCTCTGAGGC